GTTTTGGGAAAAGAAAATAGGCGAAAAATAAATGCAGATGGAAGCACTGGATTTCTGGTTAGTTAAGGGAACTTTTTTGGGACATTTTTAGAGCAGAAATATTAGCAAAAAGGAAATCTACAAAGAGTCAGCACACACGCAGATTTTTCTACTGCTGATTAGGCTGCCTTCCGTTGTTCCCTTCGCCTGGAACAGCGCCTTGACCTGTGAAATGTGAACTGCAACCGGTGACCTGCAACCTGCAACCTGCGACCTGCGACCCGCGACCTGTGTGTGTGTGACCGCAGGCACGTCCTGCTTCCTGGCTAAGTGCTCATGTGCTGCGCACTCCCTTTGCCTTACACTCGTGTGTATTTATAAAATTGTGCATAATTTAAGGCTCCTTTTTCCACCAGCAGCAGCAGCAGCAGCAGCAAAACCGCATGAATGATGGCTCCCGTAGAGCGCCAAAAGGAACAGCGGGATAAGAAGGGATACCCATGCATGGTAGTGGGGAGGCGGCAGGAGAGATTCATGTCTCCGCATTGCAATTGCAGTCCTTGCGACCAGGCGGCCAGGCGACAGGGTGGTCGGGGTCTGGGCCAGGGACTGGGCCTGGGCCTGGGCACGGGCACGGGCACAACAACTTGAAAAGGCATAATGAAGGATAATGAGTTCTTGATTAGTACAAAGTGGAAAATTGTGTATTTTTCTGCGCTCGCCCACCCCCCTGTCCACCCCTTGCGCAGGGGCGCACCAATTAACTGTAATTAGGGGCGCCGCACAATAGCACAAGGGAGACGCGGAGACGCGGAGAGTCGTGCAAATGCAAAGGACATTCCCAGGGCAACAAGGAATCAGCGAGCAGCGAGCGAGAGATTTTCAAATGGCCAACATCCCCAAGTGCAAGGCCAACAAAACAGCACACGGAGGAGCATTCGCATCCGCATTCGCATCCGCATTCGCATCCGCATTCGCATCCGGCCATTCGCATTCCGTGTATCCCAATATCCCATTGCCACATATTACGTATACGCTGTGTAAACAGTGGCCGCACACACCACACACAAGCCACACATGCCACACGCCACTCGCGCCACTCCATCGAATGGTTTGCAAAAGTGTAAATAAGAATGGATCCACACACATCATCCACATCATACATTTGCCACCAGCAAAAATACTACCCGTCGAATAAATAATACAAAAGTTACAAACGAAAAAAAAAAAAAACCTGCAATAAAATACTTTGCAAAAATCAACACAATTTTTGGAGTGTTTTTTTTTGTTTGTTTGTTTTGTTTTTGTTTTTTTGCTGAGCAAGAGATCTACGTTTGAGCCCTTCATTTGAGTTTATGGCCGAAATAATATATGCCCTATGGATGGGCAGTGCAGTTGGGAACCCGCTCTCGCGTTCACATTAATTCTTGGCTGTCAAAGAGGCGCCCAGAGTGCACAGAATTCGAGTGAAATTTGACACAATTTTTGTTTGTATTTTTTCTTTTTTGGAGCAAACAACAAAACTCTGTGCAGAACATGGGCAGCAGATCTCCAATAATTATTTATATAAATTATATAATTATAAATATTATAAATATAAATATAATTATATTATTAATAGATATTGGCGATCTGCCCATGTTTTGCCGAGAGTTTTGTATTCTTATATATTATATTATTATATTATTATTATTATAATTATATTATTATATATTATATTATTACATATTATATTATATTATAATATAATTATAAACAATTATATAAATGAATTATATATTTAATTTCCCGCACAGAGCATTCAATGCGCGGCTACTTTTTGTTACCCACTTGTATGACGGCTTGCTTTACTTTGTGAAAAGTCGTTTTTTTTTTGTTGTTGTTTTTTTTTTTTTGTGTTGTTGTTGTTGTTGCGCTGCATTTCCGCATTCGCATGCAAATCGACGATTAATCAAAATACCACTTTCCCCTCAATTGTTGCTGCAAATTACATTTTTCACACTCGCCGCATTTTTCACGTTTTCCACGCCGGCCGCCTCAATGAAATGACAAATTTACACAGTTGCTACATAGGCGAGGCGAGGCGAAGGGAATGTCCTGCCCTGCCCGTTGGCTCTCTCATTCTCTCACTGCTGGCCAGCAGTGAATACCCAACTTCGATGAGGGGCTTAAGCGCGTATTTGATGGAAGGAAATGATGCAGAAGAAAAGCCTGCAGTCGAGCAAGTGCAGATACTTTGGGGCTGCACAATAAATATACATATACAATAAATATATACATATAAATATAAAGCTTGGATAAATGTATCTGTGATGATATATCAGATCTGCTATAACTGTAGCATATTTATACATATGTATTCCAGGCTCCAAATAGAAAGCAGTATACGCGCATATCTGCTGAACCTGTAGCTATATCTTTTAATGAAAGGAACGCACACACACACACACACACACACACACACACACACAGATTGCCTTTGGTTTCTTCATGATTATCCTTGAGCCGCGGACTCCGTCTGTGGCTGGTGGCAGTCCTTATATTGCTGCTCATTTTCGACTTTTTAATAACATTAATTAAAAGTGCGAAAGCTGAATGAAAAGCCCACCGAACGCCGCCCCCCACGCCCCACCGAACCCCAAGCAACTAGCAAACGGCCTTGTACATCCCATCCATCCAATTGTCCGTCGGATAGGCCTGCTCTCCGTCCGTTCATTGCTCGGTGCCTCTTTCCACCTCTCTCTCTCTCTCTCGCTCTGTGTTGGGCAAACAAAGGTAGCGGCTACGCGGAAAACAAAAAATGAAGAGGGTAAACGCAGAGCGAAACGGGGTGGAGAAAAAAGGGGTGGGAAGAAACCAAATCAAAAGCAAACGCAAGCAGCCAGCAGCCAGCAGGTCGAAGCAGCCAGCAGCCAGCCACTCCCCTCTCTGGAAGTCCAACAACCAAAAATATTAATGAAAGAGCAAATACGCCACAAAAGCAAAGAGAGAGCGAGAGAGAGAGAGAGAGGTAGTGTGAGTGGGGAGGGGAGCTCCCACTCGCCTTTGGTGAGTGGCTCAACCCTAGCCACCCCCCGTCTGGGTGGGTTATATAACGGTATAAATTTCTAGTTAATTAATCACCTTTCGCTTTGTTTTATGGCTAATTTAATTAATTTGATGCCTTTTATTGTTTTCTCTGGGGGTAGTCAAAGGAGTAGGCCAGTGGCAACCATTCCACACGGCTACACGAGACACGGGACAAGGATACGCGGACACAGGATACGGACACGGACACAGGATACAGGATACGAACACGGCTATGGCTACGGATGCCATGGCATTGGAATCGGAATTGTGCATAAGTTGTTACGGGGCAAAACAACTTGAGCCAAAAGTCGAAAAAATTATTCATTAGCCGCTAGGGAGCCGGGACTCACTGGACGGATGGCAGGGTATTGCGGGGGAGCAGATAAATGTCAGAAAAGTTGGATTCAAGCGGGTTCATGATTGAATGTGGCATTGCTCCACAAAATAATTACAAGGATGAAAAAACAGTCAGAGGGAAGCTCTATGCTCTAAAGCTCGCCCTCTCTCTTGCTCTCTTTTGGATGATTTGTTTTGCACCGAAATCACTCGAATTCGATCTCAGAACCAATGAGAGAGCGCGCGCGCGAGCGAGAGCGAGACTCCCCACTCAAAGCTGCGCACTCAACTCTGGCATTAACAGCTTTGCCCCCCGTCCACCGCTCACACCGTTAACTCAGGCAAGCGCTGACAAATTTTCAATATGCCAGCAGTATCGGTATCGGAATGGTGAAGAGACCCCAGATCAGGCCACTTGCACCCTGACCTTTGAGCCATGGCTCTTATGGCCAGCTATTTATTTGGGTTTTGGGTTCATTTTGCTGACCCGTCAAAAACCAATTTAAAGTTTATTTTTAAGAGGTGCTAGAAATGGCAGCGCTTGATTGTGACATCAGCTGTGAGTGCTACAGTTGTGCACAAAATATTAGTTTACTTGGCCTAAGCTGCATGCAATTTCAGATGCACTGCAAAAAAGAAATGTGCATTGGCACGGCGCGTGTGCCTCGAGCGAATGGTGTTCTAATTTAATGGCCACCACTGTACATATCGTGCGTGCATACGTGACCTGTTGCTGTAGGCTTCATCTATCCCTTCACACTGCAGGGACTGCTCTCTCCCACACTGCAGCGCTGCCTGCTGTAACTCTTCAGCGCGCTGCTCGCTCACTCCCTCTTCAGAGCGCTGCTCGCTCAATCCCTCGTCAGCGCTGCTCGCTCCCACACTTCAGCGCTGCTCGCTCCTCTCCCACTCAGACTCTCTCTCCACCGTTGCAACTGATGCTGCCTGTGAGCGTGAGCTGTTGGATACCCCACTCTGGATGGCGCTTTGATCGGAGGCTTATGAACAATATGAATACCCTATGATGCCCTGCTTGCATCAGCATAGTGTATCAGCAGTGATCACAGCCCATGGCCACCCCACAGGTCACCAGAGTACTCAACCTGCGTTTCACTTCGCAAAAGCATCTTTACACACCAGCCATTAAATTGTTGATGTATTTTCTTTAGTTTCGCTTTCGTTGGCAAATGACTTGGCACTTTCCCATCACTGCAGGTTCCCCCCCCACTCTGCGAGATGGATGAGTTTTTACTTTCGTATGTACGTATATTCATAATTTATTTAAGTGTTTTTTTCTTTGTTTTTAAAGCATAAAATACAATACAATGTAATAATAAATTAATTATTTATATTTTAAATAGCATTTTTTTGTTGTTGTTGTTTATACACGAGCTTGAGCATGAAAATGCAAAAATTTGCATCATTTCGAAGAGGGGGAGAGGGGGGGGGCCACACAGACCCTTGGGAAATCGCATCCCCCCCTCCTTCCACCAGCGACTCTGTTCTGTTGGTAGCTTCTGTTTGTCTCTCTCTTTGTGTGTTTTTGCCGCCCATCTCTCTCTCTCTCTCTCTCTCTGTCTCTCTGTAGTTTCCACCAACACTTTCTCTCTCTCTCTCTCTGTCTCTGTCTCTTTATGGCAACTGGTCCGTGTTCAAGGGAGGGAATGGATGGGTAGTTGCAGCGAGTGGGATCAGCGAGTGGGGTGCACAGAGCGAGTGGATTGCAACGAGTGCTTGCGGAGTGGGAATGAAAGAGTGTGCGAATGGCACTCGTTGCATCTAGTGCTTGCAACGAGTTCATGCAACGAGTGGGCTTAAAGAGTATTAATAGAATGGAAATGCTAGAAATGGGATGAGGCAGCAATAAATAAGATTCAAGCGGCGCGGGATGATTTGGGGATTGGATAACGATGATAACTAGTGACTGACTCGTTCCGATCCCATGCAGATCGGACTCTTCTAGTGCTTGGCCTCCTCCTCGGGCAGATCGGCGGCCACAATCGGCTCGATCTCCTTGACCTCAGCGGGCACCTCCTCCTCCTGGGCATCAGCGTCGGGCAGAACGCGCACCTCCACTCGATTGGAGGCCGATCCACCCTGATGCTCGTGCTGCTCCTCCTCACCCACATCCATGGCATCATCCTCTGCCTCAATCTCCTCCTGATCGTGATCCAAATCGGAACGACTCTGCGCCTTGTGGTTCTGTGGCAGCGATTGCTGCTGCTGCTGCTGCGGCTGCTCGATGGCCGTCAGAATGGACTGAAGCAGACCCTGCGAAAGGATCTCCTCGTGATTGGCACCCTGCTCGCCAACGTCATTGCCCTGGGGGCCGTTACCGTGGCCGCCTGCCTGGCTCAGGGAGCCACCAAACTGCACCTGGAAATTCTGCTGGGGCTGCGGCTGACCGGAGCCCAGCTGAATGCTCTGCGATTTCTGTGCGGAGATCACATCGAGGCCATCCAAGCCGGGCAGCTGCTGGGGATCCGTGCCATCGGGCAATGCCGCCACCGAGTTCTTCTGCGAGGCATAGCCCGCATGATCGTAGTCCAAGTCATTGCCCGATGGCGGTGGTCCGTAGCTGTCGGCGGGACCCGTCAGGAACTGTGTATGCTGCTCGGCCACGGGAATGCTCTGGGCGATGGCGTTGTATGCGCCCGCAGATGCCGCCGAGATGCTGCCAAATTGTTGCTGAATCTGTTGCTGCTGCTGCTGTTGCTGCACCTGGTAGCCATTGCTGCTCACTAGATTGGGTCCATGTCCGCAATCGTGGACAATGATGGGCTGTTGCTGCTGCTGCTGCTGTTGCTGCTGCTGCTGGGGGATCTGATTGAAACGCGGCGCCTGCTGTGACAGTGGCAGTCCCTGGTTGTGGACAAACTGCTGCTGGTACTGCGAGGCACTGTAGCTGTTCTCAGAGTGCTGCTGCTGGTGGTGCTGCTGGTGGTGCTGCTGTTGCTGCTGCTGCTGCTGGAAGAACTGTGGTGGCAGATACTGCTGCGATGGCGCCGGCGGTGGTGGTCCCAGTGGACGCACATTCGCCACTGGCGCTGGCGGCGGCAGATACTGTGGCTCTGGCGGTGGTGGCGGTCCCGGTGGTCCATATTGCTGCAGTGCTCCTGGCTTTTGGTGTATGAAGGCGGGTCCTGCCTGTGGCTGTGGCAGCTGCTGCTGTGGTGGTGGTGGCGGTGGCTGGTACAAGGCCTGTGGTGCGGGCAGTGGTGCACCACCGCCGCTCACCGGCAGCTCATTGGCGGCTGGGGGTATATACGTCTGCGGCTGCTGCGCGGGCTTCACGCCGAACTGATCCAAGTGCTGCACAGTGGCGCCGATCGACTCCAGCAGGCCAGCGGGCACAGGCGGGCGATAGGCCACCGGTTTGTTCGGCTGCCCGGCGCCATGCTGAGGGAATGGCTGTGGGTTGCCCGACGGCGGACCGTACTGGATGTTCACATTGGAGTGGGAGTGCGACTGCGAGTGCGACTGGGACTGGTGGCTGTTCGACTGGCTGCTGCTAGTCAGTGCCGCAAATTGTGGCGGCGGTGGCCCGAAGTTGCCGCTGGGCGGTGGCCCGTAGTTGCCGCTGGGCGGTGGCCCGTAGTTGCCGCTGGGCGGTGGTGGAGGTCCGAAGTTGCCGCTTTGCGGTGGTCCGTAGTTGCCGCTGGGCGGTGCTGGTGGCGGCGGCCCATAGTTGCCATTGGGTGGCGGTGGTGGCGGCAGACCGGAGCCAATTGTCTGATACTTCTGGCCATGCACAGATCCAGGGGCAAAGGAGTCCGACGGCGGCTTCGAGTACGAATCATCCAGGTTGCCAATGGACAGCTGCAAGAGAGAAGCACAAGAAATTGATTGAAGTTGTGGGGCTGGGACTCCCGTCAGATACCCCTCCCCCCAGAAAGGACACGCACCTGCAGAGCTTCCGATTCGATGGAGTTCAAGTGGCCGGCGCCAGGTCCTGTGATTAGATTGCCGCCATCGTCGCCGCCCTGCAGGGCCACAGCCACCAACTGCTCATCGGACAGGCCATCAATGATGCTGCCTCCAGTGGCACCCACACTCAGGCCTCCGCCTCCACCTGCACTGCCTGCACTGTACTGAGTGCCGAATGCAGTGCCATGTCCCTGGGCCACGTGGCTGTAGCCGCCCTGCGTCTCGATGTGATTCTGTTCGACGTAGGCGCCAATCGGTGCCGGAATCGGCTTCCAGCCATCGCAGGCCGTGTGGAAGGGCGCCTGGGAGCCGCTCACACTGTGTGTGTGCCCGGTGGCATCAATTTGGATCTGCACCTGCTGCGGTCCACTGGGTCCCAGTCCCAGTCCCTGTCCGTGTCCGTGTCCGTGTCCCTGTCCGTGTCCCTGTCCGTGTCCACCTCCGCCGGATGTCAGAATGATCGTCGTCTCTGGCCCGCGATTAAAGCTCGCTGGCTGTGGCCCCGGCAGCGAGATGGGCAGCGGTGGGGGTCCATAATTTGGTGGCGGCGCATCGTAGTGTGGCTTAGGCGGCAGATTCAACGGCCCCGAGGCGGGTGGTCCGTACGAGCTGGCCGGCTGATGGGCGGGCTTGAACAGCGGCGCCGAATGCGGCGACGGCAGGTGCTGTGGCGGCGGTGGTCCGTACTGTGGTTTCGGGGGGCCGTACTGCGGCGCTGGGCGGTGCTGAATCTTCAGCGGTGGGCCGTACTGCGGCGCGGGCTGTGGTGGCGGTGGGCCGTACTGCGGCGCGGGCTGTGGTGGCGGTGGGCCGTACTGCTGCTTTGGTGGTCCGTACTGTGGTGCCGGCTTATGCTGTATGTGCGGTGGTCCATAGAACGGTTTGGGCACACCGAAATGAGTCTTGATCTGCTCATGCAGACCGCCCAATGGTCCAGAGCCACCGCCGCCGCCGCCTCCGCCCAGGAAATTGAGCTTCGGAGGTCCGTACTTGAGGGCCGGGGGTCCGTACTCCCGGAAGGGTATCTGCTGCGGCACTCCGTACTCGCGATGGGGCGCATGCTGCAGCTGCTGCTGCTGCTGGGGCGGTGGTCCGTACTGTGGTGCCGGTCGGGGCGGTGGCCCGTATGTGTCAAAGCCTGCCTCGCGGCGCTTCAGCTCCTTGCCATTGAGCACTGCCTGGGCGGCGCAGAGGCAGAGCGTCGCCAGCAGGGTCAAACGTAGCAGCATCTACACAGCAGAAGGGGGGAGGGGGCAGAAGAAGAAAGTGTTGGGTTAAGGTTGAGTAATTTATCATAAAAAAAAAAAGAGTTCATTCCTTGGGCTTGAGCGGCGTTATTATCTAGCAGTTAATAGCCCTTGTCCCCTGTAGCCGCCCCCCACTGACCGCCCCCCGTGCCAACACATTTGTCAGCTGTCGAGGTTGGAGAGAGACCTTTTTGGTTTTTTTTTTTTGGAGTGTCAGGGCCTGCCTGCCTGGCTGTCTGTCTGTCACAGGGCGGGTCACAGATCTCGCCGAGAGTGGTCAGGTGTCGTTCGGAGGCTGCCCCACGACCCCCTCCCTTTATGTGTGGGTTTTTTTTGTTGTGTTTTTTGTGCTGGCCTCATGTGTAACCATAATCTGCGCTAATTTGCAGTCAACCTTCCCGAGTAATTGGCATTGCGGTTGCCCCCAAAACAAAAAGCGTTGGCGTATTACGCTCTAATTAAAACATAAACCAGGCAGCAGGCGACAATCATCATCATGATGATGATTGTGTCGGGGTATTGCTGGCTGTCGCCAGTTTCGTTTCGGCCCCATCATGATCATCAATAATTCAGCAGGCAGTGCCGCGCCATAAAACCCCAGCGAAGAAAATAAAAAAAATAGCAGGGAAGGGAAGACCAAGAGTTGGACTGAACGGAAAGTCAGGCAGACATTCAGGCGGTTGTTTAATTGGTTTTATGTTTAACAACAAATGCGGCAGGCACTCCAAAACCAACAACAAATTATCTCGGACGACAGCAACGATTTGGCTCTTCTTTCAAAATTCCACGCACAGCACGCGAATTAGCCACAGACACAGATACAGACACAGACACAGATACAGCAACGGGGTAATAATAACAAACACGAGGCAGGCCTACACCAGCTACAGAAAGAAAGAGTGAGAGAGGGAGAGACGAACAGGGCATACTCTTAATGTAAGAAGAGAGGGGGCTAGCAGGGGGGGGGCGGGTGATGTAAGTTGTAGTTGGAATTACTAGAAAGATGAAAGCCAATTGGTTTGATTCTCGCTCCAACATATCCATAGCTATAATAATAGCTTAGAAACTTCAATCGGAAAGTTCTTTCTGCTGGAATGAGTTTTTTTTTTTGCTTTGTTGACTTTTTTTTCCTGCTAAAATTTATTCGGATATCGGGTTTATTATTTTAAAGTAATTTGTACAACTTCCGATCACGTCAAAAAGTCAAATAAAAATATACAGAAATCAGCTAAAGATGCCAGCAAGGCTTTAACGCTTTTGGAACAGTGCAAAACAAAAATGTGAGTGGCATGAAAATTATTTAAGTGACCCAGAACTTTAATTAAAATCCCCAAAAATCAGAGCAAAACGAAACTAAACAAATATATTATTTCCACTAAAAGAAATCATTTTTAAAACTGCGGTAGTGCAGCTTTGTGATAGCTACAACCCGCCAGCCAAGCTATAGATTCAGCTACAAAATGCTATGGCAAGAATTACGTTAGTATTCTACATCTATTTTTAGTGCTCATAATCTGCTAAATGATTGAAAATTCTATAAGTAATTAGGCAGCAAATTTTGGGTTACTATTTTCATTTTTTAAAACCCATAAATTCCATTTTAAAATTGCTTGCTTATAAACAAATAATACTTAACAATCTCTTGCACTTTTTCGCAGCATAAACCACAGCCATAGGGACCTATAGAGCGTTGAGCAAACTGCTCATAGCCCTCTGGCTTGGGGCCAAAACAAATAAGCGCCGAGCAGTTCACATAGAACCATCTGCCTGGCAAGCGGCAGATTTCCAGCCATCCAGCCATCATAATCTTCATTTCGTTTTGGCCATAATGTGTAGCGTAATAGCTATGATATTATGCCATTTACTCGGCTGCCGCTGCCGCTGCCATTGCCTCTCTCTCTGTGGGTCTGCGGATTGCATAAGAGTGGCAATGTCTTGTGATTGCGATGCGGGTTTTCAGAGCTTGCTTGGGGGGGGGTAATCAGAGTTTTTTTTATTTGGAAAAAGTGCACCTCAATGGTCAGCGATGCGCATTGAATATCACAATAGGCCAAACCGAAAACACACACAGAGATTTTTGTCTTGCTATTTTGGCCAGCGGCCGTGGCGTTAAAATGTCATAAGCGGCCAGCAGCGGGCAGCGGGCAGCGAGCAGCGAGCAGCGAAGACGTTGCGAAGAAGAGACCCCGAGAAACAACAAAAAAAAAAAAGTAACTTTCACTTTGCCCAATGTATCTTTGTATCTGTGGATGAGTGGCTGTGTGGCTGTGCGACTGTGTGGATATATCTTTTGGCCAGGCGGATGAGTAGGTGTCACAAATGCTGCTGGCAGTGAAATTATGTGCCGCATAATGAAAATACATTATAAAAGAAATGGCAAACAATTAAAAGCTGCCACATGACGGTAGCCTGGGAGTGGGGGGGGGACTGTATATGTGGCAAGGGGGCAACTAGCTAGGGTGTGGGGGGCAGTGCATGAGCCCTGTCTGTGCCCCATTGTCTGTGAGGCGTGTGAAGTGACCCGCATGTGGCTGCCACTGGCTGTTGTTGCAACTTCAACTTCAACTTCATTGAATTTGTTTTTGCTTTTTGTTTTTTTGCTGCTTTTGCTGCTTTTGCAATCAACTTTTAGCTGATGTCTTTCATAGGGTATAGCCTGTACAGAGGGGTAACAGCACTTCGATCAGGCAGCTGCGACTTTAAATGCATTTTTTTGTGCATTTTTTGTGCATTTTTTCGTGCATTTTTTCGTGCATTTTTTGTGTATTTTTAATCTAATGAACATTTTAGAGATTGATTTATTTTCTAGCCAGCCAAAAATCAGCCAATTCGAGGCGCTATATCTTAGGTATTTAAAGGCATCTAAAAGATGTTTAGTGGAACAATTTTAAGCCATGTTGATATTTCTTTTTAATAGCAGCAATATGCCAAGCGCTCAATTAAAGTATTTTTTAGAGGCAAAAACTATAAAATATATAGCTAAAAAAAATAGATTCTCTCTCTTCTTTTCAATGCAGAATTTATCTATAAATAAATTCAGTTTGTTGTTGGCATAGATATCATGGGGAATACATTTATTTCAACGCAGCTAAAAACTCCTAAAATGTTTAGCAAGTTTAATTCAAATTGGAGCACAATAAACCATTGAAACCCCATGAATTTTGTGCTGTAAATAAGCCAACAATAAATACAATAAATAAAAAAAACAAATAAATTAATTTTCTATTATTGCCCATTTGAAGAGCATCTAAGCATCGTCTTGCCCTAGGCCCATGTGTCTTTCCAACCCATTTCTGTATTGCTTGCATGGCTATTACTTGTATCAAAGTCACCGAGTCGAGTCAGTGGGTCACACATTTGTGACTGGCTTCACTGGATCACTGTATCACTGAGGATCGCCCGCAGAGCGGAGGGCCACAGACATTCAGTACTATGTAGTATTTCGCTGTGGCACACCCATGGCAGCTTTCTTCTTCGATTTCTGCTCATTAGCATAGCTAACAAAATATTTGTTATTGATGCTAAACAATTGACAAGAGCAACAAAAGAGCAGGCAGACAGGCAGACAGGCAGACTGAAACAACAAAATGGGCAAATAAACAAATAAACAAATAAACAAACAAACAACCAAACAAATAACCAAACAAAACGGCCGGCGAAAACTTTCACTCTCGTTTTTTTTTTGAGAAAAAAAAAAACCTACAAATTTTTGTTACCGAAGATGAACGAGCGAACGAGACACACGGCATGGAGTGGGGCCCTACCCCCTCTCCCCCCCCTTCCCAGAAAAAGGGTTGCCCTGGGAGACACATCCTTTTTGGCAGGCACAAAAACTTATTGTTGTTACGCCCAACCGACCACCCGCCCACCCGCCCACGACTCCTACCCATCAAGTTTTTTGGCCACAGCTGTGGGACGACTCTCTCTCTCTCCTCTCCTCCACCGTCACAAAAGTCGAGAATCGTAATCTGCGTTAATTAAATTTTCCTCTCTTTCTCGGCCAGAATGTGAATGCGAAATTATTTATGAATCAATTTCGATAATGAATAAATTATGTCTAAAGACAAGACCAGACCTCTGGTCTCTGGCTCTGGCTCTGGCACTGGATGGGGTTTGGGTTTGGGCACTGTTCGCCTTTGGCAAATGAATAATCTGCAGCCCAAGGATTCGGCTTACACGTTTTTGGTCCTGCATCAATTTTCATTTGCCAGAAAACCCTCATCAATTAACAGAGGTCGTTGGTGTAGGTCGAAAGGCCAAGGCGCAGGCGTGGCATTCACAGGCACGAATATTTTCTGTATATATATTTTTTTTGTTAATTTTGCCAACAAATTTCTATGCCAGCGAAGAGCAGAAATGGAGCTGGAATCTATGTCTTTTTTTATGCCCAAAATTAGTAGATTTTAAGGTGCGATCCAGGGGACTTTTACAGAGGCTTTCACAGTCTTGGAACTAAGGCCTCTGCCACGCCTTGCTGCTAGCTAATAAATATGGAGGATTATCTGCTGGAATTTCGGCCCGGAATTACGAGTAGGCAACGCCTGGAGGCTGCCAAAAACTTTTACTTTCATTGGCATTTGCCATGCATCATCCACGGAAGATGCTGCTGCCTGCTGGCTGGCTGCTGGCTGAGCGTTTTTCTTTTTGTTTAAGTCCCCAAAGATTTATAATTGGCCTGGCCCCAGTTTGTTCTCCTGGTAATCCTTTGCACTTGAGTCCAATTAGGGAAATGTTTCTTTACCATTTGCCAGTGGGTATAGCGCTGCCCAGATGCTGACGATGACGATGATGATGTTGTTTGATTATCCTTGGGAAAATCTCTCACTTGAAAAAAATTCGAAGAAATATTTTGCACTTCACAAAGGATTGTTTACTTCCGTTATGCGCGTTCGCTTTTCGTTTTCGACGGTGGAGGGTCAATGATTGGGGTACAACAAAAAAAAAAAAACAATGATAAATTCGCGAGAAGACGACAACGTTATTTGTGGGTATGCTTGGGGGTGGGGGGTGGATGTTGTGGGACAGATCTCACGGCGGGGATCTGATCTAACGGGCAAACGGAACGGGCGACGGTCGTCCGCTGCTTGTCACAATCGAATGGAAAATGCTGCCGCTCAGATGATAACGCCAGCTCATATAGGTAATACCCAGGGGGGCCGTCAGCGTCAGCGTCGGCGTCGTCGTTGCTGCTGCGGCTGCGCAGCCGCAGAGAAAACCGAAACCGAATTCGAAACCGAAAGTGAAGAAATTTCGTATGGCAAGGTGCCCCACTGTCCACAAAGGCTGTCCCTTTGAGAGATAGAGTGAGAGCGAGAGAGAGTGTGAGTGTGAGTGTGAGAGAGAGTGGTAGTGGGAGAGAGACACACACTCACTCACTCTCTGTGCAACCAGTTTTGCAACATTTTGTAGACCTCGACGCCGCCTTGGAGCGCCTTGGGGGCCACATGCAAATCATGGCCAAGTCAAAGTTGAACTTGTTCAATGTTGCAAGATCCCATCCTTGGCTGCCCCATCAGAGTTCAGGCCTACTGCTGCCTACTGCTGCCCCTTGAAAGGTTCAAAACATTTTCAAGTCTAAACTTTACATTTTTTTTTAATGGATTTCCTCTTTTTTTTTGCTCAATGCAAAACTACAAATAAAACAAAATATTAAGCATCCTTTCTCCTCTGAGTTTATACCTACCATAAAAATGATTGCAAATTAAATACCAATTTTGGACACTTAAAATTTGTTTGCCCCTCAAATAAAAATTCTTCGAATTTCAAATTCAGTTTAAACTTGAATTTAAACTACTCGTAGTACTCGTATGCTCCAGCTGCCACAGGGATGCATTGTGATGCCACAATTAACGTAGCTCATAGTTTTCCATGCCGACTATTTATTTCAAAGTTAATTTGTTGTCAAAGTTCTGGCAGTTGAGCGGCTCCCATTTCCATTTCCATTTCCACTTGCATTTCAATTGCATATTAATTGCCTGCCCATTGAAATGCACCTGCAAAAATTCTCAATTTACAGAACAGAACAGAAAGATATTTTCCATTTTCCCTGCACTTCCATTCAGAGTTATTTTCAATTGGGATGTGGGGGGAGTGGAACGATGTCATCTCACACAATGGCCCATCTTTGTGGGGGATTTTCCTGTTTTCTCTCTCTCTCTCTCTATTGCTGCAGCACTTTTCTCTCTCTCTATCTCTCTATCTAATGGTTGAGTCATAAAAGAGCTCTGCCACTGCCACATGTTGCTTTGTTGGGGGAGATCAAGTTTTTACACTTGAAGACAACGTGGAACGTAGACGTTGTGCGGCGTCGGCCTTCGCGTGATTCGATTTCGCTTTCATTTGCATTTCATGAGCCGCCGCCGCTCTTTTCTCCAGCAACAGCACAACAGCCACAGCCACAGCCACAGCCACCAGCCACATCATCATCATTGACATCATCATGACGGTCATGCTGATCCCCAAAGCAGAAGAAACTTGTTGGCTTTGGCTTTCTCGAACAAAACCAAAAACAAAAAAACAAAAAACAACAAAAAATTAAATGGGTAGGTGCTGTGCTGTGCTGTGCTGTGCTCCTTCTTCTCCCTTTATTGATTGACTCGACTTGACTCTCGGATCTGGCTGCCACTCCTCCTCCTGCTGCTGCTGCTGCTCCTGCTGCTGCTGTTGAGCCTGCTAGCCAGGTTACTTCACAGTTGCTGCTGTTGCTGCTGCTGCCACGTTTGGACTTCCTGCTGTTGCATCTTGCGGGTGCCTCATGGCCAGTCTCGCGTCCGCGTTAGCGTCCGAAGAGGCTCTGGGGTTGGGGGCAACATGCAACTTAAGTGGCAATATTTTGTGCCGCATCTGTTGCCCGCAGTGGCTTTTGTCATTACACATTTAAAATATATACGTAAGTACATACTATACATATGTACGGCTTAGCTGATAGCCAACAGCAAAACAAAAAAAACCAGAGGGTATTGCGAGTTTTAGATGGAGTTTGTACAGGCTCCATAAAGGTGCTAGACATAATACAAATTTATTCCAAGCTGGAAACAATAATATAAATATTGTAAAAATATTTCAATTAATTCAGATTCTAGCAAGAAGAATATTAATTTATTAATATTATTATTTTTTTCTTTAAAAAGTTCAATCTTAAGACATTTCTTATCTAAGGTTAACTTTATTATAAGTCACACAAAATACTGCCCCTAAAAAAATCTTCTGGAATTCCAGGAAAGATTAACTTTAGGTGAAATATTTGTAATAAAAAAAACCAAACAAACTTTAAATAAATAAATAATATAAATATAATAAAAATATAATATTAATATAATTAATAAAAAAATAAAATAAATTAAATAAATAATATAATTAAATATAATTTAAATAAAACAATTAATAAATAAATAAAATAAATATATATAAGCTTAAAAAAATGTCTAAAAAATGCTGTTAATGTGTTCTGCTTTAATGCATACATTTCCAAGGGTGTTTCAAGCTTCGGCTCCTGAAGCCATAAGCTTTTGTTACCTGTTTTTTTTTTTTTTGCAATTATTTGCGCTTTTACTTCCTCGAGTCTTGCTTTGAAGGCTACTTTCGTTTTGTGCTCAAAAATGTGGCTGTGTCTGTGTGTGAGTGTGTGTGTGTGTGTGAGGGCCCCTGCAGCCCCAAAAAGATGATGATAAGGGCCCCAAAACAACGAACAACAAGCCAACGAAAAAGCAGATAAACGAGCAGGCACTTGCAAAAAAAAAAGGGAAAATGCCTTTCCAGAGGATCTCCCGAAGCTGAATGTGAAAGCGGAAATAGGCAAAAAAAAAAACGTCTTTTCGGCCACCTAAGGCAAATGTTCTTTGGCATTTAATATTTAGGTGTTTATCTTAGTAAAATAAAAATAAATACAAAATTTAGTTCATTATTTTATCTGTCGCAGAAGCTGAGTTCGCTTGGACATCTTTTTTTCTGCTAGTTTTTAACTTTACTTGAGTATTAATGAACACAAACCTAGCCCCATTTGATTGCCTATTTTTCATTGATTTATCTGAGCCATAAGCTCATACGTAGCTGTATCTGTATCTGTGTCTTATCCACAACAGACACGCACAAAACAATTGAGAAAATATTTAAAGAAGAGAAATTGCATTCCATTGGCATGAGACTGGGACTGGGACTGCTGCTGCTGCTGCTGCTGTGCCCTCTGGGCCTCGCCCACATTTCAGTTTCAGTTTCAGGTCTCTCTCTTGGTGGCTGGCGGACGGGGAGGGAATGGTTGAGAGCCCTTAATTTCAGGTGTAGCCACAATTATGCGGATCCACTCGCTATCTCTCTCTCTCTCTCACTCTCTCACTCTCTCACTCTGTCTCTGTCGCTGTCTTGAGCTTCGTGTTTGTCTTTGCAGCGTCGTCTCTTTCTTCAGCTTCATCTCCATTCATCGCCACTCGGCGGCCTCCGGCATCAGCATCGGCATCGCCATCGGTCTCGGTCTCGGCCTCAGCCTCAGCCTCGGCTTTATGTCATGACGCTAATATTACGCAATCAGCCGCTTTCTTCTTGCTGTCTTTCATTCTCTGCCCGCACAGTGCGTTCGATCGGAGACTCAATGCTCCAAAATTGATCGCGCAGGTGCTGCCAGTGCTGGGTGTTGTGAAATATGATAATTGTGCATAGAATTTGTGCCTTAAAAATGCAAACAAAAAACATCTTTCGGTATGCTTTTTTTTTAATATTTGAATATTTAATTTGCATAAATTATTTTTACTTATTTTTGGCTGATATTTCTGCAAAAATTGAATGTAACCTGCAGATTTTTCTCACACCTTTTGGGTGGAATATTATCAGAGAATATTATTAAAATCGAAAGAAAGTTTTTCTATTCATGGGAGATTTTTTTTTTTCAGCGGCATTTCATAGTTCTACACATAATAAAAATTCGCGTAGAAAAGAACTTCCCGAGCATGTACGAAAAAAAAACTTTCGAATCCTTCTAAAAAGATCTTTAATTTTTGGTAGACTTTTCCTTTAGTTCCCCCCAACAATTATTGTCGGTATCTAGAGAGCTCTTGAAAGCATATGCCATTGCTGTAGCTTTAATGATATTCATTATGCACATGTGATGGCATCTTGCCGCTCCCTGTGGCCCACTGTGGTCCGCCCCTGTGGCCTGTTGCCATGACACTTGACGTTGGTCGCGTATCGACTTTGACTTTGCAGCCAAGCAGCATCCGCCTTCTTAAGACCCAACGAGAGAGGGAGGGAGAGAGAGACAGCAGCCAAAGCGATTTGCAATTTGTCATGCCGCGTGCCGCATGCCGCATGCTCCAAAAACCCATTGATTGCTGGGCGCACAATTGCCATTTCCATTTCCATTTCCATTGGCATTGGCATTTGCCTTTACACTTTCACAACTCTGTTTATTTGTGCACCCCTACCCAGTCCCCTCCCCCCGTTCCCGCGTATCTTCTTTGCTGCTGTTTCTGTTAGTTTTGTGCCCGGGAGTCTTCTCGTCTCGTCTCGTCTCGTTTCGTCTCGCAATTCGCTTTAATTAATGCTAATTAAATGCGCTTATCGCCGCGCCTTGGCTTATCAGCCAGCAAGCAGCCAGCAAGCAGGCCCTGGCTATGTGGTTCTGTCCCGCTCTCTACCCGATATACAGATGCCACCCCCCTCCCTTCCCTCAGCCATTTTGCCGCATTCCTTTCGAACGCTTAATTTTATGTTAATCAGTTTCTCCCACACCCCAGCCGCCTCTCTATAAACCATTCACAGAGCTAATGCAAATGAGAATCCTCGCCCATTCCCTACCCCTACACCTAGCCCTACCCTTCCAGCAACATTCCCATTCATATTTCTACTTATGACAATCAAAAACGCAATGCAGAATAGAAAATTCATAAATATGTTTATGTCATGCCCACGAGATGTGGCTGAAGAGTTGACGATTGGCCAAGAAAGCGAATAGCTGCCATGAGTATTATCCACAGACAGAAAGTCCCACAAAATGTAAGTGAAAATTAATTAAAAATATATATTTTCGTACTGCTCATTGAACATTGCTGCTGTGCATCAAATAGCACCCAAAATATTTCCATAAAATTAAAAGAAAAAA